CGCCGCGCCGCGCGCCCTGCTCCCTCCGTGGCCCCGGCGCCCCGGACGCCGCTGGCCCGCGTCCCCGCTCGGAATGAAGGTGTTCCGCAGGAAGGCGCTGGTGTTGTGCGCGGGCTACGCACTGCTGCTGGTGCTCACCATGCTCAACCTCCTGGACTACAAGTGGCACAAGGAGCCGCTGCAGCAGTGCAACCCCGACGGGCCGCTGGGTGCCGCAGCGGGGGCCTCCGGGGGCGGCTGGGGACGCCCGGGGCTGCCTCCTGCCGCGCCCCCGCGCGCCCACACGCGTCTGGACCCGCGCACCTCGTACCGCTCTCCCGCTGCCGCCGCCGTCGGGCCAGCGCCCGCAGCCGCAGCCAGGGTGGTGAGGGCAGAGGCCCCCCCGGGAAACGGCACTCGGGGCACCCGCGGCGGCGGGGACAAGCGGCAGCTGGTGTATGTGTTCACCACGTGGCGCTCGGGCTCGTCCTTCTTCGGCGAGCTCTTCAACCAGAATCCGGAGGTGTTCTTTCTCTACGAGCCAGTGTGGCACGTGTGGCAAAAACTGTACCCGGGGGACGCTGTCTCCCTGCAGGGGGCAGCGCGGGACATGCTGAGCGCGCTGTACCGCTGCGATCTCTCGGTTTTCCAGCTGTATAGTCCCGCGGGCAGCGGGGGGCGCAACCTCACCACGCTGGGCATCTTCGGGGCAGCCACCAACAAGGTGGTGTGCTCCTCGCCGCTGTGCCCGGCTTACCGTAAGGAGATCGTAGGGCTAGTGGATGACAGAGTGTGTAAGAAGTGCCCACCTCAGCGCCTGGCACGCTTCGAGGAGGAGTGCCGCAAGTACCGCACGCTGGTTATCAAAGGCGTGCGTGTCTTCGACGTGGCGGTGTTGGCGCCACTGCTTCGAGACCCAGCCCTGGACCTAAAGGTCATCCACCTGGTGCGTGATCCCCGTGCAGTAGCCAGCTCACGCATCCGCTCACGCCACGGCCTCATCCGAGAGAGCCTGCAGGTGGTACGCAGCCGGGACCCACGAGCCCATCGTATGCCTTTCCTGGAAGCCGCTGGCCACAAGCTGAGTGCCAAGAAGGAGGGCATGGGCGGCCCGGCAGACTACCATGCACTTGGCGCTATGGAGGTCATATGCAACAGCATGGCCAAGACCCTGCAGACAGCCCTGCAGCCCCCTGACTGGCTACAGGGCCACTACCTGGTGGTGCGGTACGAGGACCTGGTGGGAGACCCGGTGAAGACACTACGGAGAGTGTACGACTTTGTGGGGCTGCTAGTGAGTCCTGAAATGGAGCAGTTTGCCCTGAACATGACCAGTGGCTCCGGCTCCTCTTCCAAGCCTTTCGTGGTGTCGGCACGCAATGCCACGCAGGCCGCCAACGCCTGGCGGACCGCCCTCACCTTCCAGCAGATCAAACAGGTGGAGGAGTTCTGCTACCAGCCCATGGCGGTGCTGGGCTACGAGCGGGTGAACAGCCCGGAGGAGGTCAAAGATCTCAGCAAGACTCTTCTTCGGAAGCCCCGGCTCTGAGAAGGGTTCCCCGGAGATCTGGCGCCCTGTAAATTCTACGGGCAACGAGGATTGTGGTGTGTTTAAACAAACGCAGCGCAGACCCAAACTGAGAAACCCACATATTCTATTATAGATGTATAATATAAGTAACCACACAGGCACTTGCTGTCCATGTTTCCAGTCAGTGAATTTCAAGGAACACACGCACACACGCACACCCCCGTCAGAAAAGGCAAGACTTGAAAGTTCTGACTAGTTGCCCCTGCTCTCCTGACCCCTGCACCTCCCTTGCCCGTCGTATCCCCGTTTCTTACCCTTTCCCGAACCCGCCTTCATGCTGAAGTGGAATGTTGATGAAATCAAGTTCCAGTAACCCAAATCTTGTTTACAAAATTTTCGTGGTATCTGTGAACATGTAAGAGTAATTTGGATGTGGGGGTGGGTTGGGGTGGAGAGAGGGAAGTGGTCCAGGAACACGAAGCCCTGTTGGGCAGGGTAAACCAAGGAGGCATTCTTCTAAAGTAGACTTTTGTGTTAAAAACAAAGGTTACATGTGAGTATTAATAAAGACGGTAATAAATAATATTCTTTTTTATATTGGCCTCCATTACTTGGGAATTTACTTGCGTTATTTGTGCCCTGTCGCTTAGATAGAATCTAGCGCTCTCCTCGAGGACAGCTGAACTGGGAGAAGCTTCTGGCTTCTTGATGATAACCTGGAAGTTGTTTTCTGACATGAAAATCACGTTCTGCCAGGTGTCCAGGAAGGGAACAAATCTTAAAGCCCATCAGGGCAGTGGAAGAAAAAGCACACTCGGCTTCCCTGTCGAACTTGGAGTTACAGAAGGGAAGAAGTGTGCCCTTGGTAGGAAGGCGTTTGGCTTTGATTACTACTGTGTATCGTTAATGCAGAGAACCTGGAGGCAGAGGCGAATGCTTTTGTCCTGAGGTTGATTCAAAGAAAAGATTTTTCTAAAAAGTATGTGATTTTTTTTAAAAGTTCTGATGATTAGAACACAAGCCTCAAAAATTAGTGTGAAGGTATTGTTGGTGATGGTAGCAACTTCTTGGCTGGCAAAATGACAGAAGTATCTGGAGTGTTTTTCTGTGAGACACAGTAGGCAGACATGAAAGCAGGGTAATTTTAGCTGAGAATCAGGAACATTTAACAGGGTTTTTCTCTTCTTTGCTATCTATTCAAATTAATGCAAAAGAGAATATGAATTTGTAATGGTTTACTTGGGATGCCCTTGGGATATATTGCTTTATCATGTTTCCTAAAAGCAAACTTGTGAAGGAAATAACATGATGCAGACAGAGTAAGGCTTCAGCCAAGAGCTTCTTTTAGATATGAAAATGGATTATGGGAAAAAGGAAGTAAAAGTAAATTAATGTGTAGGGTTTTGAAATTTGGTACTTTTCAGGGAGAAAACTGTTGAATTTTCCTGTGGTGATTATGTTATCGCTGGGTCTGCATTCATATTGCATTGAAGCATTCTGCAGAATGTCTTACTATGATAAATTCTGAAGCCCAAATAGGAGTCAGAGACAGTATAGTTGCGCATTACATTAAATATGGTACGAGTAATGTTCATTACATTAAATGTGGTACAAGTTCAGTGTCATCATGGCTTTATTTTACTATAATTTATTCTAAGAAGTTACAGTAATAAACCATTTATTATATCACAAACCAACATGTATTGCTTAAATGCTGAGGATTTTATTTAAAAAAAGATGATGAGAAATAACATGTATGTGGGAAATACTTTAACATGATGTGGTTCTTAGGTGTAATTATCATTGCAATGTGATATCTAACTGTACTGGTAAGAATTCCAAGGTGAAACAGCACATAGATTTTTTAAAAGGTGTATTAATAGTGGTAGATTTTATAACATGCGCTAGAATGGTATTTCTTAATTTACTAAAATAGTTTCTAGTATTGTGTTCATTAAGCTAGATTGCAGCTATAACAAATTGATCATGTTTTCCATGATATTTTTGTGGTAGAATCTATACTGAATTATCTTCAGGAACAGAATATTTGTAAGAGCTTTAATTGAAGAATATTTTAAAATTAAATGAACAAAATAAATATTAATGTTGGTTGACTATATAGATGAAAAAGGTTTAGCAGGAAATTGAGATAGCATCATTAAAAAGCAACCACTCTGAATAAAATCATTTAAAAACAGATTTCATGTGGCATTAGAATGAGCTATCAACCACTGTGAAATTCATGCCTAGTTCTTGAGCGAGGGATTTTTAAGCAGTTAAATCTGTGCTTCTCCCAGTACATACAAGGACTTGGATTGTGTTAAAGTAGAATTGCGTTTCTTGGATCTTGTGTTTAAAAAAATTAGATGTTATACAGAGCCTTAGCAGCCCACAGAGCCTTCACAGCCTCCACTCGGCTGAAATTTGAAGCTAACACCAACAGCTCTCCCCTCTCTGCCTCCCCACCCCCGGCTCTGTTTGTGCAGGGTTTTTCTGTGTATAATTTCCTTGTTTTGTAGCAGCTGTTTTCTCTCTACTCTGCCACTTCTGGGCTCTGTAATTTGAAAAGGTGAATTGTTGCTCCTGGAAATTTGTACCTAGCTGCATTCGAGGAAAGCGAGACAGGTGTTGTACCCACCGAGGGCTGAGATAGTTGTTTCAGTGACATTCAACTTCCAGAGGTTTCAGAAGGAGGGAAGCATTTTTGGCATTAACGGGCTCCTGTCACCCCTGGTGCAAGCAGACCTGTGTCACAACAAATTGCAACAGAGCCTGTGGCTATTTCAGAGGCAGCTCATATGAAAGAGATCCTTTCACGCTTCCCAATCTGGCAAGATGTCCATTAGCAGGGGGGAATACGCTCCAGAGCAGGTTATCAGAGTGATTTTTATTTTTAAATTCTGCTCCTCTGATAGCATGCCTGACTTAAATCCTGTTGACTTTGGAATGTCTGTGTTAATTAGAAAGCTCTGTTGAGAAAACAGAGCCTCCACAGTGCGTTTAGTCAACAAATCTGAGTTTGGAACAGGGAGAGGCACAGGCTGGGTGCTTGAGTTTCAGGAAGCTGGGAGCCACTCAAAGCCCTCATTCAGCCTGACCCCTGGGTACAGTGCAGGCAGGGACTGCAGCAGATCTGTACCCTTCAGTGTGCACTGCACAGCGAGTAGTTGACAAGTATTTATTAAATAAGTGAATGAAATGTGTTGCTATCCCATCTTGAAAATGCGCAGGGGGAAAGAGTGGAAGAAATGTGTTACCTCTTTAGAGAAATCACTGGCTATACCGCCAAGTTTGTTGAAGGAAGTGGGCCATCAGCTTTATTTAACGCAATGAGTGAACAACTGAAACATTTTCAAGATTTTCAGTGTGGCCAGTCATGGTGGTATATACCTGTAATCCCAGCACTCTGAGAGGCTGAGGCAGGAGGATTGCAAGTAAGCTTATCCTGGGCAATGTAAGGATTAAGCAAGAATCTGTCTCACAAAAAAAGGAGGGAGGATGTAGCTCAGTGTGAAGGCCCTGGGTTTAAGCTCAAGTAGCCAACCTCCCAAATTCTAGGGTGATGGCATAGGTTAGTATCTTTCAGTTATGATTTAGAAGAAAACAATATGAAGGTGGAGAGGTAAAACTTTCAGAATAAGAAATTAAATATTTGATATTTGTTTCCCCCATGGCATGAACAATATAAGGGCAGAGAGCAGAATATACCTGCGGAACGAATGCTTCCCGGGTATGTAAGTGAGGGCTATAACATTGTCTTTTTTTTTTTTTTCCCGGTACCGGGAATCGAACTCACGACCTTGCGCTTGGCAGGTAGGCGCTGTGCCGCTGAGCTAAATCCCCAGCCCCGAGGGCTATAACATTGTCGGTTTTTCAGAAGCTGTGTTTTGTAGAAGCTTGTTGTTTTTAGCGCTGTGGATGTGCATGCTGAAGAATTGTGGTTTCCAGGCTCAGCAATGGTTAGTTTCAGGAAGGTTGTCCTTTCATGGATGCTGAAGGAGACGGTGGCTGCCTGTTCCCACGAATCTCCCTCCTGACTGCGGCCAGTTCCGTCCAGGATGTTTGTTGTACACAGTACAGTTGTGGCTGACTCCTGCTGTTGGTTTGAAATTAATGTGAATTTGGGTGAGGCTATTCATTAGTGCTTCCTGGACACTGAGGAATGGAATAAAGATCACGTTTGAAACCAACTCTCTAGAGATGGCTTCAGGAAGAGTAAGAGGGAGATAAAATGTGTGTCTCATCTACAGTCGCGGTAAGCAAGGATGTGGTGACACTTTACCATTCCTCTCCAGTTCTATTCCTTTCCTATACACAACATACACACATGCATGCGAGCGAGCACACCCATACGCGCATGCGCGCCGCAGTTGAAACCCTATCATTGTCTTAACACAAGATTTCATCCCATTTCTAGGGCTCAAACCTAGGACCTTGGCAAGCACTCTACTTAGAGTCACATCTCCAGCCCAGGAGTGTTTTAATATCCACTAACAGGTATGCGGTAAGCTCTTTTGATCTCAGGCCTCTGGAGAGTGAGTGGTCAATTATATCAGAACCTGTGACAGTCCTGTGTCAGGGTCTAGTGTGGATGGGAAGAAAATGACATTTGCAATTTGAGGAATGGCTTGAGTGTGTGATGGAATGTCCTGAGATAAATGCATAGTTTATAGACCCCTTTTTGTCACTCACTTTAAGGAGAGCCCTTTCAAATCTGACATGGCTAAGAAAACAATCTGTTGAAATACTCTCCATCTTTTCTGGTCCTGTGGCTCTTGCTTCTTGCAGTTTGGGTACCAGCCACTGAACTGGTCAGGTACAAGTATTTAATAACCAAAATTCTAGGGCTTTACTTTTATTACATCTGATGGAATTCTGAACACCCTTAATCAACTTAAGCTTAATCAAATTCAGCTAAAGAAATGTTAAATCCTGTGTAACACATTAAGTTTATAGAATGGAAAACTTTACGAACCAGCATTTGGAGGTGGTCTTGTTTATAAACTTGAAAATACAGAAACCTGCCTGTGTATTTGGTAACAAGATGCTAAAGGGTAACCACGGCCAAAGTTAAACTTTTGATCCATGTTAGTACCTATTATGAAATGTCCAAAGTATTTCTGGACTGCTTGAACTTCTGGGTGTATGGTAGTCACCCTGCTAGGTGAATGATAGCTACAATAATCGCTGAAACTAGGAACTAAACTCAGAACCCATTTGCGATGACTTCCGTCTCAGGGGTATGGACTGGCTTGACAGAAATTCTCCTTGAAGTAGTTGGTTTTCTGTACAGGACTGGCTACATAGTTTTCAGGTTCAGTGCAAAATAAAAATGCAGTGTCCCTTGTTAAAAAAATTGTTAAGCCTTTCCAGACTCAGAGAATTCAGCCAAGTGTGCAGTCTTTCTAAGTATGGGGCCTTGCACACCTGAGCAGATTGTATGCCCCCAAGGCTGGTCCTATCTCTGTGTGCAGAGAATGAAATGTCCGGCTATCTGAGACAGTAAACAGTGGTGCAAATGGGAAATAGGTCCAAAAGTATGAGTTGTTATGTGTGGCTATAGTGAAGGCAAAGACCTACAGGCATGTGTTGGTGATGAAATGCTAAGGAGATGAGAATACACAACAGACCGTGTTTGGTAAATAAGCAAATGATTGGCATCCTCTATTACGGGCTGGGCTTGAGAACAATCAAGATGATCTTATGGAGGGCCGAGAGACTATGTGTTTTTCCTGGGATTCTTCTCCAAAGAACAGGTTAAATGTCTTGCAGGAGGATAGAGAACACGATGTCCTTGTCCTTTAGCATGTGGATGCTAGCAAGTTCTGCAAATAATAGTCCTTTCTTTTTGAAACTTTTTGTGGGGAGCTCTCCCTCTATTTGCTCATTATGGAATAGAAGCCCAAGCATGGGAAAGCAAAGGTCAAGTCACAATACATTTAAGGAAGAAAGGTCCAAGATGTTCTAGGTCAGCTGGTACACTTCTTTATTATGTTAAGTATAGTTGGCCGAGATTATTTTTATTATAGGGTTGATATGTCCCAATTTTCCTCTGGTCACAGTCCTCCACCCCCATCCATCTCCCTCCTGCCTGCTTCTTTACTTTGCAAATCCCAACTCATTATTGCTGGTCCCGGATCTCTTTGAAGCATTTCTTTATCAGTCCTGCTCCAAGATACGGAGACTCTCTCTGTTCCATATTTTCTCTCACTGCTGAGTGCATTGATCTATCAGTGTGTCATTGCAGATTGGAATTAATTGTTTATAGGCCTATTTTCCTCTTCTAGACTGGATGATTCAGGAGGGAAGGGCGGATCTTACTTGTGTGTGTATGTTTATGTGTCTGTCAGTATCAAAGCAGTATCTTGCAATAAATCTAATAAGTGAGTGCTAAATAAAAGATGTAGCCCAAGAAGCCAGAACAGAAGAGACTGGGGAACAGATACTTTGTCAAACAGGCTTCAGAGTTAGTACTGTTGTATTTCACTATGTCTTGTACTTCATGTGGGTGTCAGAAAGAAAAAGCAAGAGAAATTAATATGGATGAAAAGGAGTATGAAAGAATGACTATAGAACATTTAAAAAATAACCTTTCCATGTTCATGTGTGAAACAGAGGGATACACGACTTGGGGGCCCCCCTCCCCAAAAGTTAACAAGCAGAGGCTGGGAGAGTAGCACAGTGGTAGATTAT